AGTTGATGACGCCCTAATCAAAGCAATAATCAATTCGGACTGTCACAGTACAACACGTGAGATTGCAGAGAAGCTTCATGTATCACATACATGCATTGAAAATCACTTAAAACAACTTGGCTATGTTAAAAAACTCGATACATGGGTTCCTCACGAACTGAAAGAATCACAGTTAACGCAACGCATTAGCAGCTGCGATTTGCTAAAGAAATGTAATGAAAATGATCCATTTTTAAAACGACTGATAACTGGCGATGAAAAATGGGTTGTTTACAACAATATCAAGCGGAAAAGATCGTGGAGCAGGCCAGGTGAACCAACTCAAACAACATCAAAAGCTGATATTCATCAAAAGAAGGTTTTGTTATCAGTTTGGTGGGATTACAAAGGAATTGTCTACTTTGAACTCTTACCACCCAACCGAACGATCAATTCTGATGTCTACATTGAACAACTAACGAAATTAAACAATGCAGTTGAAGAAAAGCGGCCCGAATTGACAAATCGAAAAGGTGTTGTATTCCATCATGACAATGCAAGGCCACACACATCTTTGGTCACTCGGCAAAAATTAATGGAGCTTGGTTGGGATGTTTTGCCACATCCACCATATAGTCCTGACCTTGCACCATCTGATTACTTTTTGTTTCGATCTTTACAAAACTCCTTGAATGGTAAAAATTTCAATAATGATGATGATGTCAAATCGTACCTGATTCAGTTTTTTGCTAATAAAAACCAGAAGTTTTTTGAACGTGGGATTATGATGCTGCCTGAAAGATGGCAAAAGGTCATTGATCAAAATGGGCAATACATTACAGAATAAAGTTATTTAGTTCCATGAAAAAATTGTCTTTGATTTTCTTTAAAAAATCCGCAATTACTTAGTCGCCGACCCAATATTTCAGTTACTCAGTTCCAGGTTTTTGTATTGTGGTTTGACAAAGTGATCTGTATAATTTTTAACTTGAGAAATTTGTTGAGATTTTCTATTAAGTTTATTATATGATCCTTTCCCAACAATGATTAGAAGGTAGAAGAAAAAATCAAATTCCCAGAGGTATAAAATTATATGTCTGTATCTACCTACCTAAATATCCATGTATTTATATTTATAATAAAAATTATTATGTGATTTATTTATTGTTAATCCTCACCTGAGGTTATTTTTTCTATTGATTTCTAGAGAGACTGGAAGGGAGCGAGGGAAGGGGAGAAAAAGAGAGAAAGAGAGAGATTATTAGTTGTCTCCCTCACAAGCTTCAACCAGGGCTAGGGATTGACCCTGCAATCCAGGTATGTGCCCTTGACCAGAAATTGAAGCTGAGACTGGTGTATGGACCGATATTCTAACTACTAGCAACACTAGCCAGGACCATTATGTTATTTACATGTAGTATTTTTGCCTACATAGATGGCAATAAAGTTTTCAAGTATTATTTTGTTTCTGTAAATTATCCCTCACATTTCTAAAAATTTTTAGTTTATATATTTTGAACTCTTCCTTTAAAAAAAAATATATTTTATTGATTTTTTACAGAGAGGCAGGGAGAGAGATAGAGAGCTAGAAACGTTGATGAGAGAGAAACATCGACCAGCTGCCTCTTGCACACCCACAACCTGGGATGTGCCCGCAACCAATGTACATGCCCTTGACCGGAATCGAACCCGGGACTTTTCAGTCCGCAGACCGACACTCTACCACTGAGCCAAACTGGTTTCGGCTGAACTCTTCCTTTTTAAAATCAACTTTCATAAGGTATATATTATTAATAGAAAATTATGTATTTTTAATTACATTTCCATGAGTTTTACCAAATGTATGTTATATTATCCATGTAACCATGAACACAAAAAAAAGTAAGAAAGAAAACGTATGTAATATTTCCTTTATTCCAGGATGATCCTTTTTATTGACTTATCACCCAAACTCCTACTCCACACAACCATTGTTTGACTTGATTTCTATTACTGTGGATTCATTTTACTGAAGATAAATAGTATGCACTACCCTGTTTCACTTGACATAGTGACTGTGAGATTTACTTATATTGTTACATGTACCAGTATATAATTATTTTGAGAGAGGGAGGGTTAAATAGTATTCCATTTTATGCATAGGTAATCTGTTGGATGGACATATGCACACTGACTATTTCCAGAACTAACCACTATGAATGAGACTCTTATGAACATTCCTGTATAAACCTTTCTTTGAAAAGCTGAAGACATTATTCTTAAACAGAAGAAATGGTATGGTAAATGTATACATTACTAGACTATTTTTTTTAAAAAGCTATGCTATTTTACACTACAGCAGAAGTGTGTTTTGATCATTCAACTTGTTTCACACATCCTTGCCAATGTTTGGTATTTTCAGTCTTTTAAATTTTAGTCAACCTTGTGATTCTGTAACAGTATTTCATGTGGGTGTTTTTATTTTTAAATATGTTTTTACTGATTTTAGAGTGAGAGGAAGGGAGAGAGATAGATAAAAACATGGATGAGAAACATCGATTTCTGCCTCCTGGTGATTGAGCCTGCCACGGGGCATGTGCCCTGGTGGAGAATCCATCCAATGACCTCTTGGTTCATGAGTCAACGCTCATCCACTGAGCCAACCAGTAGGGCTCATGTGGATATTAATTTATTTAAAAATATATTTTATTGATTTTTTACAGAGAGGAAGGGAAGTGGGAGAGGAATAGAAAGTTAGAAACATCGATGAGAAACATCCATCAGAGGACTCCTGCACACTCCCCACTGGGAATGTGCCCGCAATCAAGGTACATATCCTTGCCCAGAATTTAATCTGAGACCCTTCAGTCCACAGGCCAGTGCTCTATCCATTGAGCCAAACTAGTTAGGGCTGGATTTTAATTTTTATTTCCCTAATGATTCATGATAATGATAACTGAGCATCTTCTCCTGCTTATTGGCCATTGATTTTTCTTTTGTGCAATTTCTGCTCAAATACTTTACCCATTTTTTATTGGGTAACTTGTCTTATTCAGTTGTAAATACTTTGTAGTCTAGAAATAGTCCTGCTTCCTTTTGGAGCACTATTTCATTCACTTTTCTCTCCCTCTTGCATCACTTCCTCTGTGGGAAGCCAGATGTCATGTCTTTAAGCCCCTCAAGCAGACTATGGAGGGGTCCATGTGTCAAGGAATAGAAGTCTCTGCCCAAGAGCCAGTGAAGAATGGAGGCCTGGCAACAACAAAATGTGTGAGTTTAAAATTGAATTTTCCAGCTTCAGTTGAGCCTTGATATGACTATAGACCTAGCTGAGACCTGGACTGCAATCTTTTTTTTTCCTCCCCCCCCCCCTTTTACATTTTTTAAATTAAATTATTATCTGTGTACATATTTTAACATTTCCCCCCCTCCCATACATACCCTCCCTCCCCAGAGTTTTGTGTCCATTGGTTGTATTTATATGCATGCATACAAGTCCTTCGGTTGATCTATTATCTCCCCCAGATCTCCCTCCCCTCCCCGCTGTAATTCGACCGTCTGCTTGTTGTTTTATTGTCTCTATATCTATCTTTTCGTTCATCAGTCTATAATGTTCTTTATTATCCATAAATGAGTGAGGTCATGTGGTGTTTCTCTTTCATTGATTGGCTTATTTCACTCAGCATGATGTTCTCCAATTCCATCCAGGTTGCTGCAAATGATGAGTGTTCCTTTTTTTATGGCAGCATAGTATTCCATTGTGTAGATGTACCATAGTTTTTTTATCCAATCATCTGCTGACGGGCACCTAGGCTGTTTCCAAATTCTAGCTATTGTAGATTGTGCTGCTATGAACATAGGGGTGCATATACTGGACTGCAATCTTAAGAGAGAACTTGAGCCTGAAGCACTCAGTGGAGCCTCTCCCAGAGAGCCTTCCCCCAGAATCTGTGTAAGATACTAAAAATTTGTTCTTCTGAGCTTCTAAATTTTGAGGTAATTTGCCGCACAGTAATAGATAACTAGTATCTGTCCAAACCTTGATTACTCTTCCTCAACCCCCAAATCTGGAATGCACATTCAGTGCAGTTAGCTAAATGTGTGGCCTGAGTTTTAGCAGGAAGCCACAGTTCCCAGGAAGGATACATTTTTATCTCTTTGCCCAGATTCCCAAACCCAGATTGGATTAGGTACAATGGCATGAACTGCTTCCATTCCAAACAAAATTAAGTTCTGCTGTTCTTCCTCAATGTGGAGTGCTTTTTAAACAGCAACCTCTTTCCCTCTCTGTGTTTCCCTCTCCATCATATAGCTAGCTACTCTTTCACACCATTCTTTCTGTCCCTAAGGTCCTCATGGTGAGAGGAAATTGTTAAGGCTACATAAACCAATCCTCATGTTTGAAACTCTGTATAACATCCCCCAAGTGGCCTTTTAGCTAATTTTTGAAATTTTGATGTCACCATCTCCTTAGGTAGCTCATTCTTTCTTTGGAATCATTCTGATTAAAAAAAAAAAAAAAAAAAAAAGTCCTGCAATAGTGAGAATTTATTTTCTCTTGTCTCCTGCTTCACTTTGTTCTCAATACATTTACCATACCATTTCTTCGGTTTAAAATCAGTAAAAACATATTTGGAAGCCTTTTCCAGGGAGAATTGACTGTGACTAAAACCCACCTCTAAACCAAGGACTGGGCATTAATTGTTGGTGTTTTAAAGCAAATTATATTTTCTTTGCTATGAAGTCCCTAGCCGGACTTGGTTTTCTATGAGCCATCCTAGACAATGATACATTCATTCTCAATAATGTATCGGGGATAGGGAAGAAGACTCTTCAATTATGGATCCTCAGATATTTTTGCACTTGTTGGAACTTTTCTGGCTATTAAGCTGCTTCATATAACTGATTGGTAGAGCTAACAAATGTCTTGCCCTTGTCACTGTTAGGGCACTGAGCCAAGCACTATAAATCTGGGCATCATCTTTCCTACGCAGGCTTGCCAGGACAATGATTAAATTAATTGTTTCTATAAAGCAAGGTACTCTAGAGACTTCCTGGAGAGCTTGGCTAATCTATAGATCTAGGAAGGTTGTATGAGTGGTTTCCCGCATACTTAAAGGTAACCAACAATGGCCAAGCCCTGTGCAAAATCCTTAGTAGAGTCAACAAAATATGATTTGGCATCTATTGTTCTAGTCTTATTTCTTACTGTGCGCTCCTTCCCAATCTGAACTCCAGTCACACTGGCATTCTTTTAGTCTATCAGAGTCTGCATGTTCTTTCAACCACAATGCCTATTCGTTGGTTTGGTCTCCCCTATTCTCTATTTCCAATTAACTCTTACTCATCTTTAGATTTTCCCAGATAGCACCCCTCCAGAGTCTATGTTATATTTGTTCTTATTTAACTTCAAAAAGTAGCTGTATCTTTCTTTCAGATCCCAATTTCAGTTTTAGATTATATATTGATTAGTGTGATTAGTTCATTAATGTCTACTCTCCTTAGATTGAAAGTGCCATTCACTCAGGGACTGCATCCATTTTGCCCTCTATTTTGACACTTAACATGGTGTCAAGTGTAGTAGGTGCTCAATAGGTATTTCAGGCAGCCCTGGACAGTGTGCTTAATGGTTAGAGCATCGGCCTGACTACCAAAGGGTCAAGGGTTTATTTCCCTGTCAAGGGCATGTAACTAGGTTGCCAGTTAGCTCCTCACCCTGTCAGGGTGTGTGCCGAAGGAAACCCTCTCACATCGATGTTTCTCTTCCTCTCCCTCCCTCTCCCTCCCTTCTACTTTCTCTGAAAAGCAACAGAAAAAATTATCCTAAGGTGAGGATTAACAAAAGAAACAAATATATAATAATAATAATTGTTTGAGGCATGAAGGAAGGAGGCAATTAAAACCTAACACATAAATCGTATTTTTGGAAAAGGCATAGGAAACTATATTTTAACCTAATCTAGATGGAAAAGATTTCCTGGGAAAGTTATATCATTTCAAACACACACACACACACACACACACACACACACACACACACATAAAGGATTTGGTTCATGTGACGTGGTGGCTGGAAAAGTCCAAAATTTGTAGGTCAGATGGACAAATGGAAACACTCTAGCAGGAGTTGATGCTGCAGTACCTTTTTCTTTTTAGAAAATATTTATTTTTATTGATTTCAAAGAGGAAGGGAGAGTGAGAGAGATAGAAACATCAATGAAGAGAGAGAATCATTGACTGGCTACCTCCTGCCCACCCTCCACTGCAGATCAAGCCTGAAAGCTGGGCATGTGCCCCAATTGAGAATGGAACTGTGACTTCCTGGTCCATAGATCAATGTTCAACCACTGAGCCTCACTGGCTGGGCTTTTCCTTCCTTTTTAATTTTTATTTTCATATATATTTTATTGATTTTTTTTACAGAGAGAAAGAGAGAAGGAGTGAGGGATAGAGAGTTAGAAACATCAATGAGAGAGAAACATAGATCAGAGGCCTCCTGCACCGCCCCCACTGGGGATGTGCCTGAAACCAAGGTACATGCCCTTGACAGGAATCGAACCTGGAACCCTTCAGTCTGCAGGCCAATGCTCTATCCACTGAGCCAAACCAGTTAGGGCTTCCCCTTTTTTAAAATACAAGGTCGATGTATTATTTTGTACATAATTTGTACTTTGCTAACAAATATATTTAATTATTTTATGTTGCACACAACCAAAGAATATTTTTCTGTTTTTCCAGTTTTATGAAGATACACACACAAACAAACCACCAGACAATTTTACCATAAATCTAGTACATGCATTTCAAAATTTCACTGCTAGAATTTTGTTGAGATCAATTTAATAATTTATAACACCAAGTAATAGAGCATAAAGAACACATGTCATTAGATGTGACCCTTGCCCCTTATCCTCAGATTTATATATTTTTAAAAAACTGACAATTCTGCCAGATTCTGAACCCCCAGTACCCCATTCCAATCCCTGGAAGCAGACTATGCCCTGTAACGCAACTTTACATAAGCTGTAGTAAAAATAAAAGGTAGCTTATGTTTCCTTATCTTTCTATAGGATATGGTGGTCAGTTACTGGATAAATACTGAAACATTTCTAGCAATTCCTCTTATGAGTTTGTTTACCAAACACAGTGTGTAAGAACTAACTAGACAAAAAGTTCCTTTGGAATTTGGTCCACAAATTCACTTAACAGGTTGGAAATTTAAAACCTGCAAGGAAAAGAGAAAGTGAGGAATCCCTAATCCTGACACGCTGTAATCACTAAAGGGATATACATATACTGAAAAGTTTTGCTCACAGAAGTCACAAACTATAAAAGGGACATCCTTATTGAATAAAAACAAAGAACTAGCTACAGCCTTTTATTTTGTGAGCACCAAGAGTAAGACAAAGTTAGACCGAAATTCACTGTCTATTCCTGTGACTCCCTCCACCCTCAAACATTTTTGAAGATAAAAACATTTAATTTGTCTTACTAGGTGGCCGGCTAGCTCAGTCGGTAGAGCATGAGACTCTTAATTTGTCTTACTATATACTTTCTGGCCACTAATTGTGATGTAATTATGAAAGATTAAAATTAGGCCTCTGAAAAGTCTTGAACTTCTAAGACAAAGATAAAAGGAACAAGTTATCCCTGCTTTGCCACAAAGCAAAATAGAAAAAGAAGAAAGAAACAGTTATCTAATTCAGGGTGCCAGGTCTTGGACTCTTCGGGCAGCCTATTCTTGATTTCAGGAACCTGAGAAGATTTCTGGTGACTTATGTATGGTAGCTGGGCTGACCAGAGAGACAGCACTTCAGGCTACACAGTTCGGCAACCCGCATTGAGACAGAGGAGGAGGGAGGGAGAGAAGGGAAAAAGAGTGGGGGGTAGAGGGGGAAGGAGAAAAAGAGGGGTGGGGAGAGAGAGAGAGAGAGAGAGAGAGAGAGAGAGAGAGAGAGAGAGAGAGAGAGAGAGAGAGAGAGAGAACGAACGAGAACTCCATGGGTGGAGGAAGGAAAGAGAAAAGTTAGTCATGTCCTTCAAGCGCAGAAGGAGAGGACAACCAGCTTACCAGTGATGGTCCACAGATGTTCGGAGTAAAGGTTAAACTTTCCTCCCTGAGAGTGCTGGCTGATTGTCTTCCCTTGCATTCTTCCATAACAGACAGGGCTCACTTACAAGTAAAGATCTATCTTTGCTGCCCTGGAAAGTGTGGATCAGTTAGTTGGAGCATAGTACCATATGCTGAAAGTCACGTGTTGATTCCTGGTCAGGACACATATGTGAGTTACGGGTTTGATCACCTGTTGGAGTATGAATACTGGAGGCAACAGATAGATGTCTCTCTCTTTAAAAAGAAAAAGAAAAAAGAAGAAAAAAGATGGATCTTTACAAAGGAAGCTATAGGCCTGGGATGTGACTATGGGCTATAACCTGCCCTCTTAGGAATTTGTAATCAGACCATCTTATGTGGTTACTTTCAATCTCTGAGTCTGTCAGGCCTGCCATGTGCTCTCCCACCTCATCCCAGCTTGTCATATTTATTACATATCCCCCTTTTCATTCACAATTGGTGCAATTGTATAAATGTTGGTGCATATATTTAAATGAATTTAGAATATTATTACTAAACTAGAGGACTGGTGCACGAAATTTGTGCATGGGGAGGGGGTGTCCCTCAGCCCAGCCTACATACCTCGAGGGATGTCTGACGCCCTTTCAGGATCGGGCCTAAATGTGCAGTCGGACATTCCTTTCACAATCCAGGACTGCTGTTTCCCAACTGCTTGCCTGCCTGCCTTCCTGATTGCCCCTAACCCAGTGGTCGGCAAACTGCGGCTCGCAAGCCACATGCAGATCGCAAGCCGCAGTTTGCCACTCTATTGACTGAGTTTGCCAACCACTGACATATACTACCCTTTACCTCTTTGCACACAATATACCACAATTGCCTAATCCTCACAGCTTCCAACTACATGGTAACATTTAGCCTAGTCCAATGAGTGGTTGGCAAACTCATTAGTCAACAGAGCAACAAGCAGCGGTTTGCTGACCACTGCCCTAAGTGCTTCTGCCTGCCAGCCTGTTTGCCCCTAACTGCACTCCCCTGAAGGCCTCCATCTTTGAACACATGGGGGTAGCTATCTTGTGTGTGATGCTCAATTTGCATACTACCCTTTTATTAGATAGGATTCACCTTTAACAATTCAAAAAACCCAAGTATCTAATTTTTATTTATTTATTTTTAAAATATATTTTATTGATTGTTTACAGAGAGGAAGGGAGGGGAATAGAGAGCTAGAAACATTGATCAGCTGGCTCCTGCACACCCCTTACTGGGGATGTGCTCACAACCAATGTACATGTCCTTGACCGGAATCAAACCCGGGACCTTTCAGTCCACAGGCCGACACTCTATCTACTGAGTCAAACTGGTTTCGGCCCAAGTATCTAATTTTTAAAATATATATATTTTTTATTGGTTTCAGAGAGGAAGGGAGAGGGATAAAGAAACACCAATGATGAGAGAGAATCATGATTGGCTGCACCCCGCCCCCACCTTCCACCTGGGGATTGAGCCCACAACCTGGGCATGTGCCCTTGATCGGAATCGAACCCAGGACCTTTCAGTCCACAGGCTGACACTCTATCCACTGAGTCATACCAGCCAGGGTGTATCTCATGTTTTGTATCAAGTTTGTTTGGGGGCTTCTAATCACATCTATGAATTGATATCTTTTTAAAAAAATATGTTTTATTGATTTTTTTTATAGAGAGGAAGGGAGAGAGATAAAAAGTCAGAAACATTGATCAGCCGCTTCCTCCACACCCCCTACTGGGGATGTGCCCACAACCAAGGTACATGCCTTTGACCGGAATCGAACCTGGGACCCTTGAGTCCGCAGGCCGATGCTCTATCCACTGAGCCAAACCAGTTTCAGCAGAATTGCTATCTTTAGAACAACTTTACAGTTAGGTTTATAGTCACACTTTAAAAATTACCCCTTGTTTGCTTTGGTAAATACAATATATATAAATACTGCAGTATTATAATGAATATCTTAATATAGGATTCTGTGTTTGAAGTAATTTCCAAATGCAGAATGTTACCTGTGTTGGTCATTTTTTCCAGAGAAACAGAGCCAATAAGATCTATAGGGAGACTGATAAATAAATGTAAGAGAAGATTATAGGAACAAGCTCACACCATTATGGAGGTGACCTGTTTACTGGTTTAAGTCTGAGTGCAAAGGCTAGAATATTAGGAGCGCCAATGTCTGAGGGCAAGAGAAAATGGATGCCTCAGCTCAAGCAAGAGTGCAAACTCACCTCTCCTCTGCCTTTTGTTCTATTTAGACCCCCAGAGAGTTGGATGATGCTCACCTTGTTGGAGGTGATGTTGTTTACTTAGTCTGTGGATTTCAAATCCTCATCTCTTCTAGAGACAATCGGCAATGACACACTCAGAAATAATGTTTTACCAGCTATCTGGGCATTTGTTGGCCCAGTTAAATTGACACATAAAATTAGCCATTATATTACATTATTACCAATTTACTAAGCAAAATTCCCAGTTTGGGGACCCTGCCACCTGAATGTATCTGCTTCTCCAGGACAAGTGGCAAAGTTCTCTTTGATAATATTCTAATATAGAGCAGGCTAGCAATCATTTCATTTTCCTTCTACCACTTTTGTTAGGGGCAGAAATAGAATACTGGGAACTAGCTCTTATTATAAAAAAATATTGACTTAGCCAGTTTGGCTCAGTGGATAGAGCATCCACCTGAGGACTGAAGGGTCCTAGGTTCGATTCTGATCCAGGGCATATTCCCGGGTTGAGGGTTGATCCCCAGTATGGGTCTTACAGGAGGCAGCCAATCAATGATTCTCTCTCATCATTGATATTTCTCTCTCTCTCTCTCTCTCTCTCTCTCTCTCTCTCTCTCTCTCTCTCTCTCTCTCCCCCTCTTCCTTCCTCTGTGAAATCAACAAAAAATATTAAATAAATAAATAAATAAAAAGAAATATTAATCATTCTCTGTTAGCCATGATTAGTTTGTTCTGATTAAAGAAAACACATTCTAACCTGGCTGAGAGTTGTATGCGAGGACCTGGGAGCTAATCTGGAAATGCAGCTTGGGGACTGGGAGTGTCCCAGAACTGCCTGTTATCATGGGGAGATGAACAACCTTATTTCTGAAAGGAAACAATGGAGTTCTGGACACAAACCCACAGCCCCCATTGCCTATAATCTGTAACCATTATACCAATTATTATTCCTTCTGTCTACTTCCCCTTGCCTGTAATGCCCATTTTTATTTTATATACTGATTCTTATTCCTTTTGTCCACTTCTCCATGTAATCGTTATCCTCGTACCCCTTATAAACAGCTGGGGGAGAGCAGATATTTTGTTTTAATATATTTTATTGATTTTTTTACAGAGAGGAAGAGAGAAGGATAGAAAGTTAGAAACATCAATGAGAGAGAATCATCAAACAGCTGCCTCTTGCACACCCCCTACTGGGGATGCACCCGCAACCAACGTACATGCCCTTGACCGGAATCGAACCCGGGACCTTTCAGTCCCCAAGCCGATACTCTATCCACTGAGCCAAACCGGTCCTGGCGAGAGCAGATATTTTGGATGGCCTGCTGCTCTTCCATACTGCTGGCATTATTGGAATAAATGCTCCTATATGATGCAGCCCTCTCTGCATAATTGGCTCAAGTTGTGACCAGCAGCCCGGACCCACTGGTTATCCAGTTTCCCTTTTTCTCACAATAGGGCCTTTGATAGAGGCTTTTGCTATCCATTGAAAACCATCATCTTTGTACAGTTTAGAACACTCCAGTTTAGAACAAACCTTAAATCCTGCCAAAATAGAGGAAAGACCAGAATTGAAACAA